GCACACGCTTTCAAAAAAAGAAATTGGTAGAAAGGGGGCGGGGGGGGGGGGGGGGGGGCGTACTCTTATGTTTTGCATGCCTTACCGGTTAGACCATTGACCACGAGTCCTCGAGAGGACGGAGCATTGTTCCCACAGGACCGATCACCGATGGCCAATCGTTCCTTCCTACTTTGCCAAAGGTGGCCCAAAAATGTCTTACCTAGTCTGTCTATCCTAACGATATCCCTTCCCGCCTTTTCAAACCACTTCCTACTCCCCAGTACAGCTACCGTCCTCTCCTCTCTATTCCATGCTTCAAACATCTCCCTGTACGTCCCTTGTATTATTCACAGCTCAGTCATGTACACTTCCCTCTCCGCTCCGACATTCCGCGACTACATGAACACGGTCTTCGCATTGGAAGCCGCAATCACATTTGAACTTGTCGTCTTCGTCGTCTACCGTCCTATGTCTTCGTCGATGTTCTCGAAGGCCTATGTCCCCGGTGCTGAATTTGACCTTAAGCTTTGTCCCTGCATCCATTGGTCCATGTAGGTAATCCTTGAACCCAATTCCTTCTTTCAACATTCCGTACACTTCTAGACCCTCCTTATCCTTGGTTTCTTTCCTTAGATTCTGTTTTTCTCTCTCGGCACAAGCAACAGGTATCTTCTCCTTGAACCCCTGTAGACCCTCCGTTTCCAGCGTTTCATCTTCGTCGATGTCGAACCCCTTCCATACGGCCTCTACAACCTTGACCCATTCCGTGTGGGTTGTCTACCCCTCTTTTTGTTGGCCCACTTCGCCTCCCATACTATTCTCGGCAACCTCTCCTCTCCCATCCCGCACATGCGATGCTGCCATGTCAGCTTCCTTGCGTCTCTTCCCGACCGTAGGGATTGGATCCCCAATTCTGCCCTGACGGCTGCACTACTTGTGCGCTTGGAGCATCCCAGGATGATTTCGCTGCTTTCATCTGCGCCGCCTCGAGTTCTTTCACTACCTTCTTATTTCCTTCCCATACTTCTCCGGCGTACTCTAGCGGCGGTACGATTACGCTCTTCCAAACCGTCAATTTGATGCGTGTATCGAGGTGCCGGTTTGCGAGTATTGGGTGCAGCTTCCCTGCTCTTGTTTTTCCCTTTTCCGCTACCTTGGACATGTGTGCATTCCACGAGCAGTCGTTTGCGATCTCTACTCCGAGGTATGTGTACTGGTCCACTACTGCAATCTCCTCGATCCCCCACTTCCATCTATATTCTACTGGTTCCTCCCTGTCCTCGGTGCATGCCATGACGGCACTCTTCTAAATGTTGGCAGACAACCTCCACTTATCAGTGAACTTCTTCGCCGCGTCAATTTGTAGTTGCAAGCCCTCAGGGGTGTCCGACATACCAACAAAATCATCCGCAAACAGCATTCCTGACACCGAAGTTTCCGTGTCCCCTACTTGTACTCCCTTCCGGACTGCCTCTACGACTTCCAACGGATCGTTGATGAACACCTGGAACAATGTTGGGGACAGCGTGCAACCTTGTGGGACCCCCTGCTCATTGTCAAAGAATGTAGACAGTTCTCCGTCTAGCATGACGACAGCGCTTTTCGTACACTCTGTCATCTTCTTCAGCACTCTCCACATTTTCCCCTTCATCCCGTACTTGGACAATTGTTTCCACAGCCCATTTCTCCATACGGTATCGTATGCCTTTTTCACGTCCAGGGAAAAGCAGTACGTCGGCTTCCCCGCCCTCTTTCTACCTTGGATGATTCTCCCTACAGTGAATGCGTGGTCTACGCACCCTCACTTCTGTCGGAAACCCGTCTGGTCCTCACTAATGCTACGTTCCTTCTCCAATACTTCCACTATCCTATCGTTCAGCAGCTTACAAAACACTTTTCCTACTGTGTTCAACACCTGTAGTTTCCTGGGTCAGTCTTGTCTCCTTTCTTGAACAAGTTCACAACCACTCCTTCCCTCCATCTACTTGGCGCATACTCGTTTTTCCACACCCAGTTGTACAGCAGTACCATCAACTGGATCATCCCCTTCCCTCCAAACTCCATGAACTCTTTGACTATCCCATCCGCCCCTGCTGCTTTGTGGCACTGCAGCTTGTTCACACACGCCTCAACCTCGTCCTCAGTGAACTCCTTTTCTAGTTCTACGTTCCCAACGTCTGCCTTCGATGTCTCTTCTTCTTTCTTGGCCCATGCGTCCACCTCTTTCTTAAACACTCGGTCACAAGCTTCATTCTCCGAAGGCACTCCAAGTCTCTTGTAGTGTCCTGCTAGAACTTCCCTTTTTCCCTTCCCACTGCTGACTAGTCCACCGTTCACACCTCGCAAAGTTGCTACCCTTGTATCCCCTCCTTCCGCGGTCTTCTTTACCATCCCACTAATCCCTTCCCACATCTGCTTGGCGTTCCCCTCCAGGCCTCCGTTGGTCTTCTGCACTAGTTCGTCCCGAACGCATTTTTTCTTATTTTTCACTATTATAGTCCCTTCACCTGTTTCCTCTTGGCCCTGTACTTTTCCCAACTCTCCTCGGACCCCTCACTCAGGTACTGCTTAAGACTTCTCTACGTTCCCCTATTTCTTCTTTCAGCTCGTCATCCCACCACTTAACCGATACCCCACATCGTACCACCTTCTTTCCCACTACTGTCTCTGCCGTTGTGTTCACTATGGACTCCCATCCTTCAATCACCCTGTCCCCTGCTGCTTGTACGTCTACCTGATGCTGATCGGTCGAGGCCAAAGTTTGGAGGGTGGGAGGGATGCTCGCTGTCACCAATGGGCTAGTGTCCCAAGACCGTAAGTACCCGGTGCAACGCCCTGACGGAGAGCGAGACCGGGTTTCGCCACCGGGGCAGGCCGGGACGAGAGGCTACAAAGCAGAGCTAGCTGGGTATACGTGACGTAGTACGGGTTATCCGAACAAACAGAACGTTTGTTTGGCGGACATTTCCGTGGAACGTGCCGCAGCGTGTTTGTGGTTAGACGAGTGCGCGATACGCTGATTTGCTGAAACAAAAGATTGAAATGGAAAAACGGTTTTCCGCGGAGGAAAAGTCACACGCTTGTGATGGATGACAGCCTGGTTTGCTCGAAATATCACGGACACGCTGACACATTGCCCACAAAAGTCGACATAGTAGCGTTACTGGAGAAGCACGGGGATTGTGGGACACCTTGGAGAGAACGATAGCAAGAGCGGTCAGCGGAGCAATCTGCAGAATGACACCCAGTGACAAAATGTTTCGCCAACAAGAATATCATCACCGGGTGTGGTATGTGCTGTGGAGGGGGGGTAGTCATCTTGTGAAGAACACGGCTGTCATCTCTCACCGGTCTGCCGCGGCCGCGTCCTCCACCGTCACTAGCTTCAGAGTCCGCCTGGCGGGGTCCATGGTGGTGTCCCACAGCTGCTGCGGCATCATCTCTCCCAGGCCCTTGAAACGCTGGAGCTGGACCGCTGGAGAGGCCGGCAGCTCGCTAACGGCGCTGTCACACTCCTCCTGCAGCGTGAGCACCACCGTTGGGTGCGGGTGAGCTTGGGGGGGGCTGGGGTTGGGGCTAGCATCTTAAAGCTGTCGCGGCAATCGTTCGGTCGAAAATCGCACAGCCTCCACGACCATCACAAAAAAAAAGGCGGTTTCGGGGGCGCTTGTGTGCGAATACAAGAGAGGCATCTCTCAAGACCCAAGCCATGAAGGAAGAATGGTTTGTGGTCTGTGGTTTCATGACGAAATTGCCGAGTGACATTTTATCCATCGGCATTTTTTTTCAGTCGGGGTGGCGAGAATGCCTCGATGCAAACAACAACAAACGCATGCAATTCTTCAGTGCATATCTTGGGTCCCGTTCTTGTCCTCCTTGTCGCCAGACAGGCAGCTTTTATGTGCTATTGTATTATTGTTGCGGTTTCGGCCTCGTTCATATTTTCATTGTCGTCTAACAGGCGTGTTTTGTCACGGCGTTCTTGGCGGAGATCGAGGCGTTGACAGGGCGGCAAGGCTCTCGGCTTGGATGTCGATCCTAGCGCTCCCAGCGCACGCTCAGTCCATCCATCCAACTTGAAAAAACAGTGTGTGGGTTCGGCCAGCCGCGCTTGCCGTATGCTAGAGAGAGAAGCGAGTCCACCGCCGAACTGCGACCGTTCGATCGACCAAGAGTCATCAAATCACCCCCAGTCGGAGAAGAAAAAACGAAAACATATTTGTTGAAACATTGGTAAAATCTTCAGCGACCTTTCCTCGATCAGCAGCAAATGCTTCTGTTGCGACTGGTGCTTCGAAACAGGAAAATAGCAGAAATGTTAGAGGCACTTGATACTCCAAGAAGAACAGCCCTCACTGCTCGTCGGGCGTTCCCGAATGTCTCGTGAGCATGCACAGACAGGTAGATGGCATGAATTGACTGGTGGCACGGTTACAACTGGGTACGTTCCATTTTCCGCTACCAGAGGCGAACGTTTTTCGACGTTGCCATGACATGGCCAAGTTTGTGCATCGTAGTGGGTGGGGAAAAAACATGGCCTGTTCCTGGTTGATTACTCTTGTTTGGCAACCTACGTTAGGCCACGCGCATCGTTTGTGTACAGACCATTCAAGGGATCATTTCAAGGGTCACGTACCTGCGTGTAGACGTATTTTTCCGTCTTTCCCTGCTTGATCTTGTACAGAGGTGGGCACGCGATGAACACGAACCCGTTCTCGATCAGCGATCTCTGCAATGATTAAGAGAAATAGAGAGCAGCGTACAGCAGTATCGGCCTTCGTAAGAAACACAAATCTTATTCACCCTTGGTATGTTACGTGTTGTCACCATTGAGCACAGGATATCGCTACGTTATCACAAAGATAGGATTCTGTAGTAGCTCAGCCCGTATTCATCATCGTCCAAAATTTCTTGCCAACATGAACACATTCGTTGAAACCTCAGTCTGGTTTTCTGGCGACGTCGTTGCATAATGGCGGGCAGGAAAAGCATACGGTTACGGCGCGGGGGGCAAGTGCGAGATATACGAGAACGAATGTATCTAATCGAAGGCGCATAACAGCACCTTCATGGCGAACCAGACAAAAACAAAAGAACAAAACCTCGAGAGCATTACCCGCTCTTTGCGTGTGCGCTCGCCCGCAAAACGTAAGTGCGAAACGCGTGCGTTGGGTGCTAGAGAACAAGATTCTCGGTTGTACCCTGTGCAGGCGGGCGGTCGATTTGCACCGCCGCTGCACAAAAAAAACAGACATAACTAAACTATCGCATGAGCGAAAGCGAAATAAAAGAAAGGTCATCTAGGCAACCGCTTCACCGGAAGAGGACCGAGCAAACCATAGAAATACAAACAAGGACCTGATATCGGAAGAAGAACGTCAGCAGCAGGATCCTGATGTGAGAGCCGTCGACGTCCGCGTCTGTCATAACCACGATGCGGTGGTACCTGAGGCTGGAAGCATCGAACTCATTGCCCTGTGTTACACAACAGCGAAAGCGACCCGCGAAGTTTGTGAGTGAGTGGAACAGCTCGTTTATCGGCGACTCCTCGGCATCGATCGGAAGCGGAATGGAATGGGCTGGCGGACGTGATAGTGGGTACCTGAGAGAATTTCAGCGAAAACCGGGATGCCCCGCCCCCCTTCCCCGGGCTTTTGATCCTGCAGTTCGATGGCAACCCCCCCAACTCCCACCCACCCCCCTTAGCACCGACACACACCGGCAAGAATGCCCCCATTTTCACGAAGGCATTCAAAAAAGACAGGAAAACAGTCCTCCTACCTCTGAAAGGATGCAAACACCAGAGAGAGATAGAGAGGTCGTTGCGTGGGACGTGGGAGGTGCGGGGGTGAAAGCGAATCGGACTCGGTACGTACGTGGGATAGAGAGGCATGTCGGGTGCGGAGTAGACCATGCTAGTTTGGAGAAGGGGTAGTGTCGGTGTGGAGTGAACGATTGAGGCACGGGCGGCACAGCGCGGCTCACCTTGATTCCTAGCCCCAAGGCCGAAATAAGAGCCTGCAGCTCGTTGTTCTGGTAGATCCTCTCCGAGGCGCACTTCTCGATGTTGAGAATCTTGCCACGAAGAGGAAGGATCGCCTGGTCAAGTTCATATCGATAATTGACGTTGTTGGTGGCGGTGGCGTTAATGATGTGGTTGGTGTGGCTGTTGTTGTTGTAGTGGTTGATTATGATGGTGTTGCTGTTGATTGGTGGTGTTGCTGTTGATGTGGCCGTTTGCTTGGTGTTCATCGTGACAATTGTTGTCAGGACGCGCATACAAGACACACAAGGGAAACGAGGACAGAGCCAAGATGATCGTATCGCTCGGCACAGATCAAAAGGACAAAAACCAACACCAAGCCTACCGACACCGACACAATACCTGCGTCCGGCGATCCCGTCCCTGCTTAGCGCTGCCCGCCGCGGAGTCCCCCTCCACGATATAAATCTCGCTCTCCACAGGATCTCGCGAGGCACAGTCTGCGAGCTTCCCCTGCACACGGCAGTCGAGACGAGACGAGGCAAGGGACAACACCGGTGGCGGCAACACACAACAGCACGGGACCGGAATAAGCCGAGGTGCCCTCTGCTCTGCTAGACCGCATCTGCGTTCTCCCCTGGCGTTGCGAGAGGGGGACCCGTTGTGGGTGAGACCAGGGGACAGTCTTGGTCTATCCCCAAGTTTTCACTTTTTTGTTCTCTTTCGCGAAGGCTGAATCTGAAAACGGCACCGTCCCGCACACACGCGGTGGGGTCGTTGGGACTAGATACGAACACCGCACACCGACCACGCGAGCCGAGCAGAAATGTGCACCATCAGCAGGTTAGGGTGAGAGACAAAACTTTACGGAGTACTCGCGGGATTTTCGTATGACGCCAACATCATGAATGATTGACAACACAACTTCTAACTATCATCGAATCAGGCCGTCGAGAACGTTTCGAGCTGCTAATAATAACAACAACAACAACAACAACAACAACAGCAATATCGATGTCCGATCTCTTACCGGCAGCACGGTGCTCGTTAGCAAAGACTTGCGTCGGACCATATCTCTCGCCGCCTTCGCAGCGGCGGCTGCAGCCTGCGCCGACGAGGCCTTATCCAAAATCGCACCAAGGATCTGTGAAAAAGAAAAAAGAGCACGAAAGACATTACCAAAAGAGCCCCGAAACGACAAAACGCGGCACCAAAGGCAGGTGTCGCGAGAACGTGATCGAAACCTACAAATATCAAACAACAAACATGTCATACAATTACACACGACACTAAAAAAACAAGGTACATTGTATGCGTGAGGGAGAAAAATAGTGCCCTCGGCGGACAAGGATTGTCCAAGATCGCAACAAAACCCCCGAGAGGGTTAAGACCAATCAGCTTATGGCACGTCGCTGATGGACAAACCCACCGGTGCTAATACTTGTGTATCACTCCTACCTTGGCGTACAGTCAGTCCAAGACTGTCCACTAACAGCTAAAGCTACTGATTCAACATCGAACAATATCGGGATCATTCGCTACCTTGGGGTGCCACTCGAACAACTTGACCAGCTCCTCGCCGACGATTGAATCGACGATGCCCCTGACTTCCGGGTTGCCCAGCCTGTTCTTCGTCTGCCCTTCGAACTCCGGCTCCGGCACCTTGACGCTAACCACCGCCGTCAGGCCCTGCCAGCCGAACGCGTTCATGTTTTCATCAGGCGCTTGGAAGTAGCAACGACTCAGACCATTTCAACAGTACCTCTACGCGCTTGGAACAGACAACCAGATACGTTATTTAGAAGGCGTTCCTTTCTAAGACGATCTCGCCCCATCACGAAGCCACCATCCCACCCACCCCACACCCCCCGGATTAAGCCCTCATCCGGTGGCGAAATATCTATCTATCCAGCTGGCAATGTATAGTCTTACCTCTCGGACGAAGTCCCCGCCGAGGTTGCTTTGTGAGTCCTTCAGCTTGCCGCTCTTTCTGCCCATGCTGTTCACCGTCCTGGTGACGATGGACTTGAGGCCCTCCAGGTGTGTGCCGCCGTCACCGGTCCTGCCGGCCAAAGACAGAAAGGAAACAGAAACAAGAAGAAGGAAGAAGAACAAAACGAGATCGCGCCCACAGCAAAAAAGGAGTTCCAAGACCAAAAACTGAAGACCAAAAAAAACACCCGAGGAGACAGTTCCTCTTGACACGCACGCAGCTGTCTACCACTACATTTCGTACCAACAGCAAGCAGTTTAGAGGTGCGTCTTCCTTTCGGCTGTTTGTGACCAAGGACCCCGAGAAGGGCAACGCGGCTACCCCCCCCTCGTCAAGCTCGACACAGGTGATGCGTGGACGCCCCTGCCTCAACTACGTACGCCCAAGGAGAATTAGGTATGTACGCGAAGAATAATCGTTCAACCGACAAGGACGACCCAAAATCCGGCGGGACGTGTGCACCGCGTCAATCTACAGAGGCTCACGATCCCTGCAAAGCGGGCAAAACGAGTTCACCTACGACCGCAGCGCTCTCCAGCTCTGCCTAATAAACAGTCAAGTACGAGCGCAACACCAACCAAAACTTGCCGCAAAATCGAAGAGAGAAAGAAAACGGTGTTCCTGTATGGGCAACGTCCAACTTTAGGCTTTCGAATTGCTGCGTTGCTCTTTTCACACATACGCATGTGTCTCGACGTCAGCGAGGTTATCTACATTCCGACACATGCCAGCCAAGCGGCGCTCAGATTGATCCGTGGAGCCGGGAGAGTCAAGAGCTCTTGCCATCTGCCTTGTGCGCACATCGAGCTTGTGCATAACACGTACCACGACATGCTTGCCTGATGTAATTCTTCTGCCTTGTGCCTGATTCACATCTCATCACCCAACTGCCTACCATGCCTTTCGCGATACGACACGACATCTTTGCCCCTCGACAGCTCGTCCATACATGCCTATGCATCACTGAATAGCTTTCCCTGGCGCCGTTCGCGAAGGACGCGCGCCACCCTGTGCACATGCCATTGCTCCACGACAGCTTGTTCCTACATGCGTACCGATCACCTGATCGCCTACCTGATGCCGTTGGCGAAGGACACGAGGGAGTCCGTGTACATGTCGCTGCTCCATGACAGGCACGCCTCCACCTGCACCCCATCGCGCTCTCCCAGGGCACGGATAACCTGTTACACGTGGTCGAACCAAACGGCACACAGCTAAGAAATGAGGACAATCTGCTACGGCGTGGTCGAACCTAACGTCACACAGCTAAGAAACGCGAATTACCTGCTACCGCGTTATCGAACCTAACGTCACACAGCTAAGAGACGCGGACAATCTGCTACTGCGTGGTCGAACCAAACGTCACACAGCCAAGAGACACGGACAATCTGCTACTGTGTGGTCGTACCAAACGTCACACAGCTAAGAAATGAGGACAACCTGCAACCGCGTGGGCGAACCAAACGTCACACAGCTAAGAAACGCGGACAATCAGCAACCACGTGGTCGAACCTAACGTCACACAGCTAAGAAACGCGGGTTACCTACCGCGTTATCGAACCTAACGTCACACAGCTACGAAACACGGACAATCTGCTACAGCGTGGCCGAACTTAACGTCACACGGCTAAGAAACGAGAACGACCTGTCCCTACGTGAACGCACCAAACGTCACACACAAGGATAGCCTGTTGCATGGTTGAACCAAACGTCACAACAACGAAGCACGGCTTAACCAGTTACTACGCGGTCACACCAAACGTCACACACAAAAGCAGCGACACGGCAGAATAATGCCAAGACAAGGAGTAGGAAAAAGCGCGTAAATGTGCCCGGAAATCACACTATCATTTAAGGCGCATCGTGAATAAAAGGGCCAACCGATACGTCATAAGGCGCTACCTTCCGGACGAGACCGATGAGGCGCGAATGGCAGGTGGCGTTTGTGTACCACTGTACCAAAGGGCTATGAGAAGATAAAAAGAAAGCAAAACAAAGATAAGAAAAAAGAGCACAAAACTCCTTACCGTGTGATTGCATCAATGCCACAAAAGAGTCGGGGCCAAACGCTGCAAAAGTGCGACACCAAAAATATTAAATCAATATCTGACAAGGCGGAGTCGCGAGGGTTTGTGGGGGGGGGGGGGGGACGCCCGTGACCACAACATGTCGCCTTCGGCTTGAAAACTACGGAAAGAGGATGCCCTGGACGCAGTCGTGGCAGACGTTTATTTTGCCAGGGCAACAGGCAACAACAAAAGGAAGTGACAGAAACGACCACAACCACTGGGGCATCAACAGACCAACACACAAGGTGAAACTCGGGTTCATGACAGCTGTGGTTGCCATCAATCCCACCTGCGTACCGGGGCGACAATACTACTACCTTGGCCCTTGGCCCTCAATCCGCCCAAAAGGCCTAACCTAGCACCTGAGCGTACCCCCCCCCCCCCCCCGCCCCCCTTAAGACAGCTAGCAACCATAGTACGGGGCCCCTTCAGACTCTCATGGCAGGCGCCAGTCTCTACGTACGCCCCGCCCGAACATCAACAAGCCCACCTTCATGTCCGGGTGAAGGTGCTGTTTCTCCTTGCACATGAGCTCTACGAATTCCTGCACGCCCCCCTTGTGCAAGTACGTCTCGGTCTTCTTGAAATTGCCGTCCTCATCGACGCCGCTCCTGAAGATGATGAAATCCCCACCACCACACACACGACACCACAACAAATAAATATTGTTGTTTGGGTTATTTGGGTCAAACGCTGACGACGGGCAGGACGTCAAAAAACAGCAACAAACAACAGATGCCAGTGTGGTTCGAACGCGGAGGGGGTCACGGACTTCAAGTGGCGGGAGGAAAGAGATGGAGAAGAAAAAACATGACGGCTACAGTACACAGGTAAAATACAAATAAAATATGAGACCCCTGTGTGACTCCGGCTGATATGTCAAACAAACACCTGGTACTGAAAGGTATGGCCTGTAAAATGGTATATCTACATTTTTCTCCAACTTGCCGTTGCTTTCGAGGGGGGCCAGGAGCGGCTATGTTTGACGGTGTTTTGATGTACTGGATATACTTCGTCTCTTCGTATTCATGCAACGGCACCCCCGTCAATCATTGCACGCGGGGCAACCAGAGGGGGGTAGTAAACATGCCACCAGACAAATGGGTGTTATGGCACAAGCTGGTCATGGAAGGAAACATACGAGAGGCTATGACCACCACCACCACCTACCAACAGCAGCAGCAGCAGCAGCAGCAGCAGCAGCAATAACACATGGAGCAGGCAAAAAACAGAGTGGAGCGCTAGCTACCACCGTCGAACAACGAGTACGCCACCAAAATAACCGAGATCTACATAGCAACCACCGTCGTAACACCATTACCACCATCACCTCGCGTCTGCCATGACGATACTGACACCCGCGTTGAGGTAGGCCAGCTCGTCCATCCGACCGGAAAGCCGCTCAAACTCGAACTCCGTCGTCGTCTTGAAAATCTGCGGTTTCGTGTTTGAGAAGCAGAAAAAACAAACAAAAAATTCAACACCACGCCGACGAAATCACGCATGTGTGCGTTTGTTCGTCATTTTCTATTCTGGCGCCACTCTGCACACCTCTCGATGTAAGTTATTGACGTATCAGCCAGGGTCACACAGGAGGAAATCCCACACAGGAGCTGGTGTGTGTTTTTCCTTCGGGAGAGTGCAAACACCCGCAGAAGCAGCATTCACAAGGGTAGACCCTAACACACAAGAGTGCCACCAAGCACGTACGTGCATGATTTGAACGACGAACGGCAAATCACGAAGAATAGCATCACATACAAATTGCTACCACAGCCGTCAAAGGGAGTGTGACAGCCCTTTTGCTGATGTTTTCGTCTTCTCTGCTTTCTTATCCTAGCCCACTCGCCTCCGGGTCCGGCAGGAACCGAACTGCGGTGCCCCCGGCCTCCTCCGCCCCCGCGTCCGCCGTGAACAGGTCGCCCTGAGTTTTCCCCCTCTCGAACGAAAGTGAGTGCCGCTTTCCCCCCCGCACTACTTCTACCTCCGCCCACTGGCTTAGGGCATTCACCACCTGCGAGTGTGTTTTTGTTTGGACATACGGGGTGACACAGACAAATAAAGGGAGGGGGAGTAATTGGAGGGAGGGAGATAGATCGGGACTACTTTAGATGTCGTGGTTTCCTTCTCGAGAATATTTTAAAGAAATCTTGTTGTCAAGAGGTGGGGTGTAGTTGCGGAGAGAGAAGGGCTGGACGAGGGCGAGAGATTCCTTATGGTCTTGAAATAGACCTTTAGACAATCACGCATGCACCTGGGGTGGATCACTCGCTTGGGGCTCCGTACATGCGTTCACCAACCATGCCGCAAATCTCAAAACGGTACCACCCCCTGCGGGAACGACATCAAACGAGCC